TGACACAGCATCACCCATAAATTCCTGTCAGAGAAGCTGTCAGGGCTTGGGAAATAAATAATGATATTTAACATTTTGTAATAACAACAATTAACCAGTAAATAATGTCCTTTAAACTGCAAACGCTGGAGTAAATTAATTCTTCTAATGAGCTGTCAGGCAGGGAAGAAAAAAAGCACCGGTGTTCTCTGGTGCCACGCGGCTGCCGTGTGAGCAGCCGGGGGAAGCTCACCTTGGGCCCTGGGAGCTCATTACCGGGAAGCATGCCGGCAACGGATTGCGGGGAAGCAACGGGGCCTCTCCCGCACCCACGTGAGCACCAGGCCGCAGCCCCCTCCGCACCGCCGCTCTCTCGCTGAGCATCGGCGCCCGGCGCATCCCGCCAGGTGCTGGTCCAGAGCGAGCAATGCATTTCAATTAGAGACGACCCCCTCCTCCCTACCTCCCCTCTGGTCGCCTGGGCAGCGCTGCGATGAAGGGGGACAGGAGCTGGGGACATCGGAGGGGGAAAGCTCCGGGCGCAGGTCTCCAGTCCTTGCTGCGTGACCTTGGAGAGGTTTCCAGCCCTCTCTGGGCTGAGATGTTGTAAACGGCAACATCTGAAGCTAATCAAACCAGCTGTGATTACTTCTGTGCGCCTGAGAAGCCTGTGACCATAAAAAGACACCTGAGTAAGGCACTCTTTATGTACTGATTCCCAGTCATCGCCAAGATATACTGTCAGGTGACAAAGCAAGGTACAGAGGAGTGTGCGGGGACTGCTAAGGAGCAGTCATGTGTCCCTGTTTGCTGGCTGCACATCCAGATAGGAAAAGGGTAACACCACTGGCCCCCGGGGAAGGAAGCTTCGCTGTCCAACCTCTATGCTCTTGTTTTCAGAGCCATGTGCAGAAATTACCTATTTAAAAAAATACTGGAAGTTAGGAAAGACAAAGGCACGATCAGAGGTCATCTTGCCTCTCAGTAGCTTTCAGGGTGTGAAAGCCACCAGGGGCCCTGCTGAAGTATGACCCCACCAGAACCTCCCAGTACAATGCATCTCCAATATCCTATCCTGAATGTAAACTAAAACTAATGAGGAAGTCCCTCCAGGGGCTAACCCCTATTCCCTCCAGCTTCAATTTCAGTTTCTCTCTTCTTGTTCTGTATTGGGTGGGTGAAAGGGCTGCTAGATGATTTCTGCAGAACAGGAGTGGGGAGCAGAGAGAAGGCAAGGAAGGGGAGGGAAGAGCAAGCCAAGGGAAGTCCTAGCCCTTAGAAAGCACACAGACCCAGGGCTTCATACCTGTGTGGTTTAGGTCACTCTGCATTTGCTGAGCCTCCCTCAGGAGCCCAGCCCAGCCAATGTTCCCCAGGATGGACAGAAGTTCCCTCCATGATCAGAGACCTCCCCAGCCTTGACACTCACCCCACCCCAGAGCAGAAGACTGAGTGGCCTCCCTGTCACCAGGGTAGTTTCATGCAGCAGCACCACGGACACACTCTCCACAGTAGGCTGAGGGGCTGGTGGCTGAGGCATTGCTGGAGTTAGGAAAGCCCCACCCGTGCTCTGAGGCAAGGCTGGAGACTGCTTTGGAGCTAGGGCTGTGAGGAACACCAAGCCCCACAGACATCTGACCCCAACTGTTTTGTTTTTGTGGCCTCGCCTTCCCAGTGAGAGGAATCCTGATTTAAGACTTTCTTGCCAGTGCCTCATGCAAGGTACTATAATGCCAAGCTACCTCAGTCAGTTCAAAATCTGCCTGGTCCACAAAGTGAGTTCAAAGCTAGCCTGGAATACTTAGTGAGACTCTGGTTTTTTGGGGTTTTTTTATGCAAATGAGGGCACCGAGGAGATGGCTCACGGGTGAAGTGAGGGGTGTTCAAGCAGGAGGTCCTGACTTTTGATCCCTAGTGTCCCCTGAAAAGTCTGGTGCAACAGACCACCTGTAACTCCAGCATTGGAGGAGGAAGCTAGGCAGAGTTCTGGCACTGCTGAGCAGCCAGACTAGCCAATCAGTGAGCTCCAAGTTCAGTGATTGATCAGTCTCAAGAAATATGATGGAGCCAGGCAGTGGCAGTGCATGCTTTTAGCCCGAGCACTCGGGAGGCAGAGGCAGGCGGATCTCTGTGAGTTCAAGGCCAGCCTGGGCTACAGAGCGAGATCCAGGACAAGCACCAAAACTACACAGAGAAACGTTGTCTCGAAAAACCATAAAAAAAAAAGTAAAGAAAGAAAGAAAAGAAATACGATGGAGAGCAATAGAGGAAGACACCTTGCATCAAGTTCTACCCCTCCACCTTCCCACCCACCCCCTACTACCCGTCACAGAAACACACACACACACACACACACACACACACACACACACACACACACACACGGGCTATGGAGCTAAGTATATAGTGCAGTGCTCACTGAGTGGGCACTTTCTTAACATGGGGGAGGCCCTGGGTTCTAGTCTTGCTACTACTAAAAGAGAAAGTCTGAGGCAGCCTAGGCTACTTAGCAAAGACCCTGTCTCAAAATCTCAAGAACAATACGGTGGTACATGTCTTTTGATCTCAGGAGGCAGACCGAGAGATCTCTGTGAGTTCATGAGTTCAACGTCAGCCAGGGTTACACAGTGAGCCTGACTCACAAAACAACAACAACAACAACAAAACCCAAGAGTAGAGAATGTTGTTCAGTAGAAGTAGAGCACTTGCTTAAGTGTGTGCAAGACCCGGGGTTTGATCTTTTGCACTCCAAAAAGATGTGTGTAAAATATACAGCCTAGTGTCCAGGCAAAAACCAAGCACTCCCAAATCACTATCTCACTAGACAAGGCCAGTTTCCAACACTGAGAGAAGTTCCTGTGGTGGCTCCTGAGGTAGGCAGCATACCTCTGCAGTGCCTGCTTGGGAGGCAGCCCAGAAGAGCCTCCAGGCCTGCTGCTTTTTTTTTTTTTTTTTTTTGCATTGGGCAGCGGAAACTGGAGCTGAAGCCAGCAAAACAAAGTTCCCAGCTTTGGGTCTGAGTCAGCTGCTTCTGGACCCGGGGGCTCAAGAGTTTCAAAGTCATAAGCTCTTCAAGGTCACCTGGACCTTGATTCTGTTGGCCCCTTAGCCTAAGCCCTCCGAAGGTCTCCTGTGCCTGGGGGTGGAGCACCAGCTGTGCCTGGGGGTGGAGCACCAGCTGTGCCCAGGGGTGGAGCACCAGCTGGAAGAGGGGGATGCTCCCGTGTGCACAGGAAACTGAGTTTCAGCTGCATGGAAATTAAAACCAGCTTGCCCAGTGCTGAGCTACCACGATGCCTGCAATCAGATTGATTTCTTGGGCTTGTTGTGACGGCAGGGTTGCGATTGATTCGTCTGGGTGGCGGGGAGTTTATCTATTCGGAGCTGTCTGTCATTGATCTGGAAAAGCTTCTGAAACAGCCCAAATACCTAGCAAGGCCGAGGTTACCACCAACCCCAGCTCAATATTAATTATAATAATGAACAGGCATGAAGAGGGTGGGTTCATTGCCTGCCCTGCAGGGCTGGCCTCTATGAGGTTCTGTGTTTAGTATTCATTTTAAATCAACAATGTGCAAAGTGCTGCTGCTGGACATGCCTGGACAGAGAGAAGTCTGCATGGGTGAGAACACCATCCTCTACTTCTATAGGACTGAGAAGACGCAAGCACTGCTGGAACAGGAAAGCTTTAGGGTAGACTTCAAGAGAGACTTCCTCGTGGACATACGATATTAATCTGCTTAAAATCTTAGGTTGCTTCCGTTTGAGTCTGTTTCTTTGTATGTGTTTGCATGTGAGTAGCATGTGTATGAGGAGGGTAGAGGATAACCTTGGGTGTTGTTCATTGGGTTCTAGCCATTTTTTTTAATATGTCTTTTTTTTCCCTCACCCCTAAATATATCTTTAGAAACAGAGTCTCTCACTGGCACAAACCTTGTGGATTCGGCTAGGCTGGCCAGCCAGTGAGACCCAGATCCACCTTTCTCCATCTCTCCAGGGTCCTCCACACCTGGTTTTCACATGGGCACAGGGATGGAACTTGGGTCCTCATGCTTGTGTGGAAATCACTTTACCCCCTGGGCCCTCTCCCCAGGCCCTGAGCCTGACTGCTCCTCTGTAAAGTGGCTTCTCAAAGTCGCTGCTCCGCATCAAAAATCTAGATCTGACAGCGCAAGACTAGAGGGCTCCTCTGGGCAGTATTCCGGTGCAGGGGGCATCAGAGGACCCCTACTTCTGGTCATAAACACCTGCCCTTCTCACCCTAGACATGGAGTAAGCGGGCAGCCGAGGGACTGAAGCGCAGGTTAATTCAATGAGTGTTGACTGAGTACTTGGTACAAGCCTGCAAACGGACTCGAGAAGCTATGGTGACCTGCTTTTGAGGTGAAGTCTGGAGTGGCCATGGAGCTGGGCACCCCCTCACTGGAGACCTCAGAAATGCCCTGCCCCTGGGGGATCTCTTGGAAGTTGCTCCTGGAGACATACCGGTGGATTGAGGACAGAGACAGGGCACAATTCCAAGGACCGCCAGTCAAGAGGAGTCTGTGCAGCATATCGGTCCTGGAGAGGACTTCACCTTCACCCAGCAGAAATGTGGTCAGACTCGAGGATCGTTTACCAGAGACTACCAGCTGACTCCCAGGACCCATCCCACCGAAGCCGAGCCGAAGTCACAGCAAGAAACACTGAAGTTAAAAATCAATAAGGACTTCCTGGCTGAGGTCTGGACAGTGAAGGTAAGGCTGGATGGAGAGGCTTCCTGCCTGCCTGACAGTCTGCCCTATTCTCTTCCCTGTGACACCCCCACCCCCTGTTCCTACAAAGCTCTCCTCTGTCCTCTAGCTTAGCCACTGCAGAGACCCCCACGACCAGCCCTAAGAGAAACATCAGAAGAAAGTTAATAGTGAAGTGCTGTGGCGGATCTAATTGATTTTTTTCCTATTGGTTCCCTAATATAGGCAACACTGTTCCTGCCGCTTTTCTGGGCTGGAGATTATGTCATAAATAAAGAGATTTGCTCCCTATTTCCATGTGCTTATCTTTAATAAGTTAAGAACTCAACAAGCTTTAGGAGGACTTGAAATAAGCAAGGGATCCGGTGGTGGCTCCTGCTGTGGTGGCGCAGCCGAAAGCTTTGCTTGAGGGAAGCGGGAGGCGGGTGACTGAGGCAGGTAGAGAATCTGCATTCTTTGGGCTGCACTGGGAATAGATCAGAAGAAGAAGAGGGAGTAAGAGGAAAAGCTGGGAGAGAGCCTAGGCAGATACGGCCGACTGGACAGGCAGGAGCTGCGGGGTTGTGGGTAAAGTGGGAATTAAGTGTGTGGGTTCAGAGGAGGCTGAAGCCCAGTTGGTAGGGCTTGCCTAGCATTCCTGAAGCCTTATCACCTCATCAGCCAGGCGTGACGATGCACATCTGCAATCCCAGAACTCCAGTGGTGGAGGCAGGACCATCAGAAGTCCTCAGCTAAATAGCAAGTTCCAGGTCAGGCCAGGATACATGAAACCCTTATCTAAAAGAAAAGAAAAAGAAAAGAAAAGTCTGTGACGCCAGAACTTGGGAGGCAGAGACAGATTGCTATGAGTTCAAGACCAATCTGATCTACATAGGGAGTTCTAAGGCAGCCAGGTCTATATGTTTTTTTTTTTAAAAAAAGGAGAAACAAAATGTAATAATAGTAGTAGCAATAATAATAATAACAACAACAATAGAGTGTGTGGGCTTAAATACTAACTCCATCATTGCATACTATCTATGTGACATTGGGCAAATCACTCATTCTCTGTGCTTCGTTATTTTAAAACAGAGAGCTTGTGAGATGGCTTAGCAGGTAAATGCACTTACCCCCAAGCCTGACAAGCCAAGTTTGATCCCCAGGATCTACATGGCAAAAGGAGAGAACCAACTTCCAAAAGTTGTTCTCTGACCTCTACACGTGCACCGTGCAGGCGCATGAACATACACACACATACTAACTAACTAAACAAATGTAACCCATCCTCATCATCATCACTTAAAAACATGGTGGCACATGTCTGTAACCCTGTGATCCCAGGATTCAGGAGGCAAAGACTGGAAGATTGCTACACGTTGGAGACCAGCCTGAGCTATAGAGACAGACCCTGTCTCAAAACAAAGCCTGGTCTACAGAGCAAGCTCCAAAGCTACACAGAGAAACCCTGTCTCTGAAAAGGAAGCTGAAAAAAAAAAAGAAAGAAAGAAAAACAAAACAACCAAAAACCCAACAACAAACAAACAAACAAGTAAAACAACCTGTGGGGCTGGAGATCTAGCTGAGACATAGCACTCGCCTAATGTGTATGAGGCCCTCTGTTAAACCCCCAGTACCACCAAAAAACAAAAGAACAATGATGGATAAGAATAATAACACACATCTATTGGTTGTTATAGGGACTGGCTATATAAAATGCTGAGGGCAGAGCCTGGTCCAGGATATTCAGAGAAACAATATTAGCTTGTCTGATGTTGGCCTTCACCGAACCTTAACCATGACTGAGGCCCTGCCCCGTGTCAGGCTCTAGCTTGGCCTTCTCAGTGAGTCATGGATGCTCCTGAGCAGGGATCACACAGCCCCTGTGACTGGCCTAAGACAGGTAGCATGACAGGGTACTGCACCAGGGGGACCCAGAAAGGGTACAGTGACCCTTCTCGGGCAGGCAGCTTCCCTGTGGTCCTGTCCTGAGGCTCCTGGCTCTCCAGTTCCTGTGAGGAACTCCCACTTCCTGTGAGGCTGCTGAGACAGAAGTTAGGGCCTTCAAGACAGAGCTGACCTGCTGCAGACCTTCAAGCAGACTTCAAGACCATCCGCCCTGCTTTGACATGCTGTTGTGCTGCTCAAGCAGCTTCCTTTCAGCCTAGACAATGCTATTTCTATTTTTCATTTTATAGTCAAGGACACTGAGGTCCAGAGGTGTGGGAACTGGCTCAAAGGCTTAAAGCTGAGAAGTAACAGAGGCGGGATTTGAACCCTGCTCTAAACACTGCCCTATGTCTTCACACAGCAATAGTGACCAGTGAGAAAGACACAGGTGATCAGGTGTTTAAGAGCACTGGCTGCTCTTTCAGATGACAGATTTGATTCCTAGCACCCACAGGGTGACTCAGAACTGTCTGTAACTCCAGTTCCCGGGAATCTGATGCCCTCTTCTGGCCTCCATGGACAGCAGCTATGCAAGTGGTACATAGATATACATGTAGGCAAAACACCCACATACATAAATAGTTTTTTAAAAAGCCAACCAATATCACCTACCTTAAATATATATAATTATAAATCATAAAAATATATAATTAAATTTTAGAATTCAGGCTAAGGACAGAGGAGGTAGGGAATATAAAAAGCATTTAATGATTACCAACCGTGTGTCATGTCCTCCTGTGGGTCTTCTCGCTGAATGCACATCTGGGAGGCTGGTGACACGATTTTCCTTTCATAGGTGAAGACATGGAGACTCAGAAGCACGCCTGATGCAGGCATAAGGCTGGGATCACTTGAACTCGAGGCCTGTTCTTGCAGCCTCTGGGTGAACAGTGTCGCACAGGCTTTGTCCTCGGAAGTCACCCCTGTGGCCTCACTGAGGACAGATTGACAGAGTCCCCCCTGCGTTGGTTTGGAAGCCCTGCTATTTCTGGAGGGAGAAGGATCTCTAACTCTTGGGTGTGTTATTTTATAGCCTCTCTTTTCTCCAGGCATTGTCTGTACCTGCAGACTCTGTGGCTTTAAGGACCAATGACCTCACAATCGGTTGCCATAGAGACCATTGTGATGTCACAATCAGAGGACAAGTAGTTCAAGGAGAGGAGTCGGGGATGGGAATGCACAGCTCGAATTGAGCACCATTTGAGATTTGTGTCCTATATTCCTGCCCAGAAAATGAAGAGGCGGGAGGCAGGCCTGCAGCTGGCTCCTTAGGGACCTCGAGGGAGAACGAGCGCTTCTGACACTCCACCTGGGGTCTCATGGGGCAGCACTGTGCTGGCACTCAAAGAAAGGGTCCAGGAAAAGGAACAACAAACCCATTCCCACACTGTGGGGCTGTAGGAAATGGGTTACTTCTACAGCAGGAAGGATTAGGGTTAGACACCTGGAAGATCTGTAGCTAGACGATCTCCCTGAAAGGGATATGTACCCTAGTCTCTGATTGCAAGGTCCAAGGGAGACGCTGCATCTCAATGACCTTCAGAGCCTTGTAGAGACAGCGATGTTGTACCACAGCGTGTTAGGACTCCATCTTCTGACCGAGGCTGGAGAGCTCCTTGAGGACTCTGGTCCTGGCATACACAAAGTGTTCAACAAAGGCTTCCTCATTCTGTAGACAAGTGACTGAGAATAATGAATGGCCAGGGTCTGTAGTGAAGGATAAATGGAGAGACAGGTGGAGAGGTCTGTGGGGAACCGAGAGGCCACACAAGCTTTGGCCACACAAGAGAATGGCTCCTCATTCTCTGCCACACGGCCACATCTCCATTTTGCATTCAGCCAGATGCTTCTGAGTGCTGTCTCTGAGGATATGGAGCACTTGAAGTCTGCTCTGGATCCCAGCTAAGTGCTGGCCATTTAATTGAATATCTGCTGGCTGAATTATAGAACCAACCATCCCTATTGGTTCTAAGCAGCTACCCCCCCAGACCCTGTTCCTGGGTGACCCTCTAGGCCTAGTCCCCTACAGATGAACTCTGGGCAGAAGCCCTGGCCCAGAGAACCTGTGACCCCTCTGTCACCTGCTCCACAAAGGCCCACTGACACATGCCTTTCTTCCTAACTTTCACAGTATAGCACAACTATACCATTAAGTAGCTGTGAATCAATCGCCAAGTCTCCTGGGGCCTCAATGTCCCTATCTGTACAATGGAGACAATGACAGCTTTGTGCCTGCCTCATAGGATTGTTATGAAGGTGTTGTTAAATCCCCTAGTTTAATGCCCTCAAACAGGAAATGATAAATGGAGCTATTATTATTTTTAAAGGTAAAGAAGAAGAAGAAAAAACCCACTGAACTCAGGGCCTGACTCCCTTTAAATGGAGAATAGACAGATCTATTGTGAATTTGCTTTCAATGCATGTGGCAATCTTTTTAAAGAGGAAATACTTGAGGCCTTTCTGTAAAATGTGAATCAGCTACGAGCCCATGCCTTCTACAATTGCAAAGCTTCATAGAAGGGTTTGTTCCAAAGGGGAGACATGATTATTCTCTCATATTATTCAAACCAACCCCCCCCCCCAGTCCTGCCTCGGGCATAAGGAGAACAAACACTCTTGTGCCTTCGCTTTGGCCCAGGCTGGGCAGCTATCAGAGACGGTGGTGTGAGGTCAGGTGTAAGGTCAACCTGGATGGGCTGTTTGTTCACACCAACCCTCTCCTGCCTTGTATCAGCAGAAGTGAATGGCGCTGGCCCCAGCATCTGCATCTGAGGGGTCATTCCAGCCGCAATCCCCTCCCCAGAGAGAGAACTGTAGTGGGGAGGGTGCTTTGAGACAGGGTCTCATATAGCTCAGACTGACCCCAAGCTGGATATACAGTTGAGGTTGACCTTGAACTTCTGATCTTCCCACCTCTACCATCTGAGGGCTGGCTGGGATTATAGGCATGAATCGTCACGCCCAGCTTATGTAGTGCTGGGCACTGAACCCAGGGATTCAGGCATGCTAGGCAAGCACTCCGCCAACTGAGCCATTTCCCTATCCCAGGACTCGGCTGTTTTGAGAGGGTGTTTCAGCCAACTGGCAAGCCTGACTCTGGGGCCACCATTTCCAGATCACCATGGAATCCCTGGTGCCCATTGACCTAGGAAGTCTAAATGGTGTGCCTAAGGCCTCTTCCATCTTCTCCAGAGCTTAACCCACCAGGTGACCCATTTCCTTACCACTTGGCCAACAACCCGGTGCTGAGTCCCCAGCCCCTGAGCAGCACCGTAAACCCAATGCCTCTGGCGGATGTGTTTTATGTCAGTTCAGGCACTAGGACAACTGAGTTCAGAGGATTTTATTTCCAGAGCCTTCCATATTTCTCTGAGATTATCACCTGTCTTTGTTCCCTCCCTCTCTTGGTTATTATCTTTGGACACTTTCCAAGCCAAGCTGCTTTGATTGCTTGGGGAGACGAAGGCCCCCAGCATCCTCCATGGTGTCTCTGGGTCTGGCAAGGGTGCCCTTGGGGACCATTTCTTCTTCCTTCAGCATAACTCTGCAACCGGCCACAGTATAGGTGGCCTTGGCTTTTAGGAGTTGGTTTGCCTAAGAGACTTTCCGTGTGTCAGGGAACATGGAGGGGGAAGTGGAAGTGGAGGCCTCTGTCTCTGAGGTTGGGGAGGGCTATGTGAAGAGTAAGCCCCGGGGTACAGAGGGGAGGGAGAAGGCCAGCTGTTCTCTTTCTTACACCGTGCCAACCTAGCCTGACACCAAATTAATAGCATTCAAATGAGATGCAAAGCATTATGCAAATATTGAGGAGAAGGCCACTCTCACCCGAGCCTCTGGGTTGTTGGAAGGCCAGTGCCTGGAGCCCTTTCATGGAGGACCCCATGGACTCTCTTCAACTTCAATCCTCATACCTCAGTACCAGCTTGTGCATAGGACCAAAGAGACTGGCCAGGAACTCAAATTGGCTTTGCCTCACCAGCACTCAGCGTCCCTTCCCATCTAAAACAACCGGCAGGCAGCTGTGAGGGTAGCATTACCTCCCTGGGTCCCAGTTCCCCACTCATCAGCATGTATGCAAACTAGATGCAAGGTTTTTGCATCTATTTAACTGTCCATTAAAATAGCCCCATGCCCGTCACCTCTGCACAGGCCCAGGCTTCCAAATTGCCAACCCCTGCTGCCTGCAAAAGCCATGTGTTTCCTGAGCCTGGTAATTGCTGTGGTGTTTGTTGAGCTGTATTTGCATTTGATTGTCATTTAACTTTCTATCTTTCTCCTTCAATCAAACGGGGGGTGGGAAGGTGGGGGGGGGGGTGAGGGGGAGGAGAATTGGGCTTCTACAATTGATTCTTCATTTCAGTTTCAGTCCCATCCTGGTTTCAAAGAGCTTCATTTATGAGTGCCACGGACTTGAACCCTGGGACTTCTCCCTCCACATGGTGGGGGAGGGCCTCCTCCCACCCATCCCAGGGCTCCTGGGTGCAAATAATTTAGCCAACAGGATGGATCTCAAGTCCTGTCTCCAGTCTGCATGTTCCAGCACCTTCCTCATTTCTGCCCAGCTAGTGGCATTAAACATTCATGGCGCTGTGGAGGATCAAAGGCCTCGGCTGGGGGTGGTGGGCAGGCTGGAGGCCTGAGTTTGGAGATGGAAAGTTGTTCACATCAAACCGCTTTCTGCTGCTGTCTCAGTGCACCCTAGCTCTTGCCACAGTGATCTGGTCCCATTCCTGGAGTGGGAGCGAATGCTCAGAGCCAGGACCCTTGGCTGATTGACTTTGAGTAACCCAGGAAACCAGGCTTGACATCCCTGGCAGTGCCAGAAGCCACTGAGTCTGTGGACATACTCCAAGAAGATGGTGGCGGTGAATAGAAAGCTGTGCCCATATAGGCCCTGAGATAAAGTCGCAGCCCCCTTCCCCTGCCCCCCCTAAAACCCTAAACCCCTTTGGATGCTCTCTTTGCTTTGAAAGCTGTCTTGGAGAAGAATGGATTTGGATTTTTCCCCCCTCTTCTTGATCAGAAAGCAAGTGTCATCCCAGCAGAGACTTCAAAACAAGTCACCAATATGCCTGTGACCCCATGAGCTGAGAGCCTGTTTAGAATTGGAGAAGTGAGGCTGGCTTCCCCAGGGAAGTGGTTAGAGACCCACTCCTGTCTGGGCAGTGGCTAGGAGCCCCCTCTCTGGCTGTCAACCCTAATCTGTAGTAGCCTTCCTCCTGGGTTAGCAGTGAAGTACCATTCTTCCCAGGGTTCTCAGTGCCCGAAACCCACCCAAATGATGCCAGACTGATATGTTTTAGTTTGTATACCTTCATAATGAAGCAATTCCTTCAAGGTAGCCACCAAGAACAACCTGTCACTCAGATGACTGAAAAAAAACAAAAACAAAAACAAAAAACTCCTACAGCCCAGCCACAGATGACTCCAGCCCTTCCTCACACTTTCCTGTGGGGGCTCAGCGTTGCTGAACCAGTCTCCTTCCTGACCTCAGCTATCTGGCAGTTTCCATCACGTTGCTGGCTACATAAGCCACACCCCCACGCTGTCCTCCCTCCTCCAGTCACTGAAACATAGGCAGATTCAACTTGGTTTCACCATCTGCTGTGGGAAACCCTCACTGACTTAAAGCAATGCCCCTGTCTCACAGCTTTCATATGGCATCAGTGGTCTGCCCCAGGCTTTAGACACCCCCATGTAGTCACAACATTCACTGAACATCTAGGATGTGCTGGTCACTGTGCTAGGTTTGAGTAGAGGGCACACAGGCCATGTAGTCAGTCACCAAGTCAACAACTAGTAATTTAGTGATCAGATTACACAGGAGAAATCAGAATCTCTGAGAGCAAACAGCTAGGTATAGACACAGGAAAAGGGCCTTGCAGGTCATCCTAGGTTGGGGTGTGTGTGTGTGTGTGTGTGTACACAGAAGCCAAAGGATAACTTACAGGAATTGGTTCTCTAGTCATCAGCAAGTGCCTTTACCCACTGAGCCAGCTCACTGGCCCATGCCACTCTCTAATGTGTATATGAATTGAGTAAACTTTCAAACTGTAAGCCTTGAATATGGATGAATGTCCCCTTGGGTATTTTATTGTCCTCAGTTATGGGTAATACCAAGCTCTAGGAAGAATGGGCCCTTTGAAAAGCATGAGAAGAGATGCTTACCAAAAAATTCTACTGCTTCTTAGCTTGGTCCAGGCTCTGCCTCAACCTTGTATGGAGCCCATTCCACAGAAGCCAGGCTTACCAGATCTTTTGTAAAGAGTGACCTCAAGCTTTGTTGTTATTCCAATCATGTAGCACAGACCCATCCTCTGGGTTCAGGGGAGAGTGCTGTATTCTGGGACTGTAGTCTCCAATGGACCACTCTTGAGTGCTCAGGCAGTCGGGAAGGTCATGTTACAGGTTTCCAGAGAGCATGCTTACCTTCCTTCTTATAGGCAGTGCCCAATCCAGGCACAGTTGAGTGAGACCACCAGCAGCCTTTAAGTCACTATGAACCTTCCTGATGTATACGGTTTAACCTGCATTATGGCTCACCCCAGAGTTGTGTGGTCCTGAGGGACCCAGGGATGTGGGAAGCACTCAGGAATACCTATAAGGAAGAAAAACAGAATCTCATGACCCCTGCCCGTTTTCAGACTTCAGACAGGCATTTCTGTGCCTGTTCCCCGATTCCGTCAGTAATTCTTGTTCTCCCTCCACCCCTCTTTCCTGGCTTCTCCTCACTTAGGCTCCTTTCATCAAAGGCCTCCTTCCTCCCAGCTGCTGCTAGTCTCCCCTTTTTCTTCTCTTCTCCAAACAACTGTCCAAAAATCCTCTCCTAGCATCTTCCCCAGGTAATGCCACATGCCACCTGCTGCCTGGGACTCTTCACAAGAGGCAAAGTGGCTCCCCAGAGCCCACAAAAGGATCTACAGAGAATCAAAGGAGCAGAGCTGGAAGACCGTAAGGACCAAAAGACTCTCTGGGGACTGAAACTTTGGTCAGAAGTCACCCACTTCCAGGATGAGACGGAGGAAATGCGGTGGACAGTGATTGGGTTCCTCTACAGATTTTAACATCAGCCGCATGGCGGTGTCTTTTGCGTCCATTGAAACACCCCTAGCAAGCCTAACCACGGTCCCTTGGGTCTAAATTGCAGGCTCAAGTTCTGTACAATTACGGTTAGCCTGCTGTTGGCCTGTGGCTTCCGGAGGCTCCTCAGATCACCAAGAGTCACTGAATCTTGTTTGTCCATACTATTGAATGGTATAGCCTTTTGGTTACTGTCCCTCCTTTAAAGTTTCCCTCCATCTGAAACAACCCTAGAGGACTTCTCCAAACAACTGTCCAAAAATCCTCTCCTAGCATCTTCCCCAGGTAATCCCACATGCCACCTGCTGCCTGGGATTCTTTCCAGCAGGCAAGGTTGTGCAGCGGTAAGAGCGCCTTTTTATCAAGTATGAGATCATGTGGGAGGCCCTGGTTCCTAGCACTGGGGGAAAAAAGCAATTAAATGAAAATGTAAAACTAAAACAGCCATAAAGACCCCTGATGTTCATGTTTACCCCATTTTCTCCATCAGTTCCAAGACCTGAGCTGGTACTGGCACAAAAGATCTGTGTCACTGTGGCTGTTCTGGTCCCACAGAGGGGATAAAGGTAGCAGGATCTGGAAGTCCAGGACTGCATGGGGACCAGGGTGCCTTCAGCACTCCACAGCCTGACCCAGGTTGTCTCCTACCAAGTGGAGAATGTCTCCCCAGGACACAAGTGCCACTGGCTTTTAACTATAATATCAGGATAATTAAGCTTTTCTGTGAGCACAGTTTGCTGCTGATGCAGCTGCCTGGAGCCCTGGCATTTATTGAGCGCAAAGTAATAATTTATTGTCCTTTGTACACTCAAAAGCCGTCTTCATTATCGGCCCAGGATGGAGCTGCCACAAGGGCAGGCGGGCCTCACCAGCTGCCTCACTGGTGTGCATCTTCCCTGGTCACCCTCGGAGCCTTCAGGTACCAGGATGGGGTGGAAAAAGGTGGGTAGGGGGTTGTTCTCTTTAATGGAGAATCTGATTAGAACCTAACACCTTGGGAGGCTGCTAACTCGGGAGAGGGTGGCAAGCTTCTCTGGGCGTGGGCAGCTCGGGAAGGCGGCGGGGGGGGGGCGGGGGGGGAGCTGTGTGCCACATTAACAGGGCAGTCCTTTCTCCAGGGCTGGCGTGGCTCGGAAGCCCGTGCTCTTGCCTCCGGGCCTTCTGCGCCTCTGCTTGAGACTTTACGGTAAGCCGCTCCTCCCGCGCCCCCGCCCCCAGCCCCGCGCGGCGATCCCCGGCGCCGACGCCAGGCGCTGGCCGTGGTGCTGATTCTGTCAGGCGCTGGCGGCGGCGGCGGCCCCGCTGCTCTCCCGGGGACCGACTCTGCTCCCCCCGCGCCCACGCCTCTCCGAGTCCCAGTCCCCCTGCCGCGGCCCCGACCCGGGGCGCGGCCGCAAGCAGCACCATGCGCCCAGCAGCCCTGCTGCTCCTGCCCTCGCTGTTGGCGCTCCTGGCTCACGGTAAGGGACCCCGGCGTCCGGCCACAGGACGGGGGCGGGCGCGGACTCCCAGGGGTAGGAAAGCAGGACCAGCCCAGCGCCTCGCTCTGCGCGTCTTGTTGTCCCTCCCAAGCACCATGTCCCGCCGGCTGCGCTGTCCCCGGCGCCGACCCAGCCGGGCGGGGCGCGGGCTCCACCGGCGGGAAGCTGCCTCGGCTCCCGCCATTCGCTCCCGGCCGAGACCTCGCCTTTAATCATCTCCCCGGATCTAATGGGATTTCTCTGCTGCAATTCATCACGCCACCCCCTCCCCGCACACACACACGCTCACCCGCGCGCTACCTCGCTCCACTCCAGGCGTCTAGGGGCGCCAGGGCGCGTTGCGAGGGTGGGGAGGTCCGGGAGATCGCGGTGCGGGTGCGGAGTCCGGACCGTCCACGGCCCGCCGTTCTGCTTCCCTTGCCGCTCTCCAAACTTCGCTCGACTTTGCTGCTGAGTCTGTGTCCCCTCGCATCCTCACTGCAGAGGAACCGGGTAGAGTGATGGCGGGACCCGGGATTAGGACATCTCTCACCTCTCTTCGCCTTGGCACTGTCATGTCAGAATTGGAACCTATTGCACATTTCTGGGGAGACATTCGGGGACCCAAGGAGACTTCTGTACATCCCCTCGCTCTTTGCTGGGCTGCAGCGACTGAGGTCCTGGGACTGGCTGTTCCTCCCCGAAATTCTTTTATTGCACATATACATGCACACATGCACATGCCCGGAGTGCTGCCTCCCTCTGAGTCTGCCTTCCTGCAGGGTCCTATCGACCCCAGAGCGGCAGAGGAGGCGGAGCTCACCGTTTGCCCCAGTCCCGGACTCCGAGTCAAGTCCCAACTTCATTGGTCTCGGTCAAGAAAAGCTTGGCCTTGGAGTAGGCAGCAAGGGAGTTTGGAGCAAAGATGAATGGGGAGCAGAAAAGATTCTAATGTAATCTGAGGCAAGCGGTCTCAGAGTCTACAACTGCTCAGGTCCTTCTCCGCTTTTACTGGTCGCTTGGTGGGGTCCGCGAAACCGCACTTGGACTTGGGACTCCAAGTCCCTCGCCATATGGTTATGGTTCCTAGCGTCTGCTGTGGAGGAGGGAGGAAGGGGAATTTCTAACCTTCGGGCTCCATCTTCCTGGGCCGAGAGTTTGGAGGTCAGATCAGCCCGGCTAGGGCTGTTTTGGGTTGAGCTGGCACCAAGCAGCTGTTCTCCTGCCCTGGGGGCGCTGGAGCACGTCTTTGAACCTCTAGGTCTACCCACAAGCAGACCAGGTCTTTACCCAGACCATCTGGCTGCCCACACTGGCTCCTCCTAGGGCTAGGAAAACTTGTGATTGTATTGTTCACCTTGCTAGGAGGTGGAAGAATTTCACAAGCCCCACTCCAGGGATGAGAAGGGATGAAGAGAAATCCATCTCCTGGGCCAACAATCTAAGGATCTCTCTCTGTATTCAGGACCCGTATGGGGTCTGGTCACATCCTGGCTCCTTCCCTGGGGAACAGAGTCTGTGTTGGTTCTCTGGCAATGGAGTCCTTGTCTGAAGGTGTGAGTGTGGTCTGGATTCTGCAGGTCCCAGGATGTCCACACTTCAGGAGCTCTGAGTGTTGGGTGACAATTCACCAGTTAAGCCACTAGTGTGCAGATCTAGTCCCTGCCAGTCAGCTCCTTGCAGGTTGGAAAAAAAGACCACAGGTCTCCGGGAAGAAAACTGGTATGGCTGACAGTCCAGCCTAGACTGGAGGTGTGGAGGTTCTTGTTGGGAGGAATTTACCCACTCTGGCCAGAAGTCTGTTCTCAGCCAGTGTCCTTCTGTGATTCATTAGATTCTCGGGTGCTGTGGGATTGCCCAGACTGGTGGGTTTCATAGGTAGAAAAAGATGATTTGGAATCAGTGGCAAACCTGACAGGTGAGAGAGCCTGAACCTAGAGCTGGGTGGCCAGGAGGCCCCTATCTCAACGACATAGAGGAAGGTTACTCATTAGGGTTCTGAGCCCTCTTCTTTGGGAGGTAGCTCACTTGACTATCTCCTGGTAGTCCTGGAGACTTTAGGAGAGATGTGAGGAGTAAAGGCCTTACACTGTAAGTCTTTCAGCCAGAGGATGCATCCCTGCATCCCTGCAGCCTGGGAGACCTCAGAGCTTCGCTCAGAAGAGGGACTCAGGCTACAGGATGCAGTCAGTCACAGTCTGAACCTTCAACCTTCAGTAGTCCAGGGGAGGCAGAGGCCCTGAAAACCAAGAAGATAGATGGGTGGTGCCCCCACCCCATGGGCTCAATTCCCCATTTCTTTCGCAGCCTCTTAGATGTAATTGGTTCCAGGTATGACAGGCATTACTGACTATGGGCGTCCTCCCAACCCCTGGGAAGTGCCAGGGATGTCTTTCCACAGTCGGGGAGAAGACAGTTCGGCAGGAGCCAGGCCTGCCTAGGCCTGCTGTGTCGGTTTAATGATTTTTAATGAGCAATTACCTTTAGTCATTCTCTTAATTTCTGAATATCAATAAAGTTAATTAAACTCTGCGTGTGTGAATGTGGCCTGGGGAGATTGTGAAGGTAAAAGCAGCCAAGACTGGGGTGGGACTAGGTCTCCAGGTATAGAAACTGCCTTCCATAGTTATGTGACCTCGGACCCGGGGTTCCACCTCTCTAAGTTCTCTTGAGAGTGTGGTAGAAAGATGGGGGGAAACCAGAAATAGCAAATCTCAACTGCTTATTCTTCCAAAAACTGGAGGATAGTGTGTGGGAGAAAAAAAAAGGAAGGATTTGGCTTCCAGGATCCCCACTGATGCAAGGGCTAACAGCCTAGGACCGACTTAACCTAAAATGCTAATTGCTGCTTGCCGTGGAGCTCGGGTTGGTGCTGAGTCTTGGGGCTGCTTCAGAAGCATTCCTGCTTCCTGTGGTCTAGCCTGGCACTTTAGGAAGAGGGCTTTTCCTGGGGACAAGGGCCTGTGGGAGATAGCTTGGATTCCACTGGGAGGCCCAGAGGCGGACATTGCAGGTAGGGAACCCCTGCCGGGTTTCTGAGGAGACCTCTCTGAGAGGCGGTTAACTCTGAGTTGGCTTTTGGCCCCTCACGGGCCTAAGTGAATCAAGCTTGGCAGGCCCTGGCGGCCATCCCAGCCTCCTCAGCAGGGTGGCAGCTTAAAATGCCTTGGGGATGCTGTGGGGCACTAATGGGGAGCAAGAAGACAATGGGACTGGGCTTAATTAGAAACTGAGCTTCCATGCCCCCCCCACGTGTCTGCCTAAACAGAGGGGGCATGTCAGAAAGGCTGCCTCCTTCCCCTCTCTCTCATCCAGCCCCAGACCCTCCAGAATCCTCCAGCCCTTCTTGTCTCCACCTCTCCTAGCGACAGTCAAGTCCATCTTCTAGGTGGGGCTCTGCTTAGGAATCCTGCACCCCCACTTGGGCAGAGCTATCAGGGTTCATTATTCTACCCCCAACCTCCCCAGAGAGAAAAAGGGGCGATAGACAGGGGTAACTTCAGTAAAAGAGTCTCTCAGCCCAGACGGGGAAGAGCCCAGCCTACCATGTCCTTGGCTTCACTAGACCTCCACTCTCCGGAGCCTTCAGTGTATGGTTGCATGAAATTGACAGTTGCCAAGCTGGCTTTTTCACCTATGAGAGGGTAAGCTCTATAAATAAGAGTCACCTAGAAGAGGAAAAGCTGCCAGACCTCGTCCACAGCCAGGAGGTAGAAGGCAGGTACCAGGAGGTCTCCAAGGCCAGTTTCAACAGGAAGCAACATCATACCGGAAAGATGACTAATCCAGCCAGGTCAAAGGAATCTCCAAATCAGTTTTTCAGACTCAACAGCTTTTGGGCTCTTCATGTTCCTTCTGCCTGATTTGTTTTCCTCCTCCTCGGCCAGCCTGGTTAGTCTACGTCATGCTTCAAGTACGGCTGGACTGGCACTTGGGTAACTGGCATGAGGCGTCTGCTCTGTGGTGTGTGTCTTCCAGCCTGGGTCTGAGGACTTGTCCATGCTCTCACTGTCTGTTTGCTGCCCCGTCTGGTCCCCAGATGGTTGGATCAGAAGCCTTTGCTGGTCGCTTGATGTCCCTTCCAGCAGCAACAACCCAGCAAAGAGGGAGTCTGCTCATCCCGTGTATCTCGGGCAGCTCCAGAGTTCCTACTTAGGAGGAGCTTAGGGGGTCAGCATTCCGGTTAGAATGGGATGATAGGTCCCTGGCAGCTGGGACTGCGTCTTGAAGCTGAATCGGCATAGCAAGCACACTATTTTTACATAGATTGTATGTTGAGTTTTTTTCCCCTTCCCTAACAGTTGGCCAATTATTCTGCCTGTAAATTACAGCCTTTACTTAGTTTTTTTTTTTTTTTTTTTTTTCCCTTCTGCAAATTAAGCTGTCATGCCATCAGCCTTAGGTGGTTCAGGGGGCGGGGCCTGGATGGCCATTCTTAATGCGGTAAAGCTTTTTCTCAGTCATCCCTTAGTGCCACCACTGCTTGTGTCCCCAGTGGCTTGGGGCCTCGTAGGTGGCACACATTAAATACATGTTAAGACATCTGTAGGAATTGCGTGGGTAGAAATCAGCACAGGAAAGCACAGGGCCTGGCCTTTCAAAGCCCCTCCCTCCCACAGTTCACAACTGGCTGAGAGGGAAGCCTCATATGAACTTAAGGACTGGGGCTCCTGAGTGTACTTATCCGTTCAAGCTTCAGAAACCATTGCATAGCCTGGAGAGACCAATATGGAGCTCTGAGATCAGATATGCCCTTGAATGGAGTCTCGGAAGCCTAAGATTAATCTAGACAGCAATGCAGGTCCATGAACCTTTCTCAGCTCCTAAAAAAAAAAAAAAAAAAAAAAAAAAAAAAACCAGCAGGTGTTGGGGTACAGCCATCCATCCAACCATTCAGTCCATCATTCGTTTGCTTAATGCACAAACATGATTCGTGGTGTGACGACTGGCCCAGAGAACACCCTCACCCACAGGGGCCCAGGCTTCACTGAGCAAGACTTTTCTACTCCTTTTCTATTTAATGTTCACAGTAAGAGGTTGCTATCCCCACTTTACAGATGGGAAAACTGAGTTTGGGAGAGATTAAGTCACTTACCCTGGGCTGCCTAGCTAGTGAACAGAAAGGATACCCCAAAGTGACTACCCGTTTTGCAAGGTGTTGCATCGGCCAGGACTCTGTCTCTCGTAGCCGAGAGAAGAGTGGTGGTATAGGCAAACAGGAACCTAGAGCATCACGATTCAAATAATATCAGTGGCAACAATAATAGCAAATGTTTGTTAGGACCAACTACATGCCAGGCTCCCTATGTGCTTTATATCCATTCTCTCATTGCCCCTCATATCATTTCCATGAAATAAAAGCTATTCCTTGCCTTTTGTAGACCAAGTTCAAGCTCATACTGTCTGACAGACTCAAGACATAAATAGTCCATAACTTCCTCCTGACACATTTCTGGCCTTGGCAGTTGCTTTCCTGGTGATGCCTATTCTCAATCTTTATTGTAGTAGGTTAACAGACATTTTATCATACTCTATCCTTAATGCAAAGGACCGAACACATCTCAACTCAAAGGTCCATAGTAACTCCTGCCCTTTGGGAGCCTTGGTAAATGACAGAACTGGTCTCACCTGTCTTGGCATCTTGGGATCTTGGGTTACCCCACCTCATCAGCCTCTATTGAGGCCCAGGCCCCAGATGGAAGGCCGGGAAGGCCGAAGCCTTTCCCCAGCTTCCTTCCAACTACCTACCTGCCGTCCGGCCGCCAGCCCTTCGGGGAGAAGATCGATGCTGCAGCTGCAGGCTGAGTGTTGTTGGCCATTGATTGTTGAGATTTCTCGGAGGGCTTGGGAGCAAACAAACCTGCCACATCTCCAACAACAATCCCAGGCCCTGGCTGCAGAGCCTGCATGCAGTCTGGCTGGCAGGGTGTCTGGCAGGAAGAGAAGGGGTGAGGTGGGAGGTCCTAACTGAGACCAGCAGGAACAAGGGACTCTGCCAGGAGATGAGCAGGGACTGAGGAAGCATGGGAGGGAGGGGAGGAGAGGCAGTGAGGATGCTTTAACTGGCCCTGCCTTTACAGACTGTCATTCTGTCCTTCTGTCTGTCTCCACTCTCCCGCCTCCCCTTTCCTGATCACCCAGCAAATACTACCCATCAAGAACTCATCTGTTCATTCACCCATTCTTCCATTCTCCATTCAGCAATCCCTACTAAAACAAGCACCTATTAAAAGCCAGACTATAGCACAAGCCCTGACCTTAAGGAACTTGGTTTAGAGACAAGCTACAGCCTTGATAACTAAGATCGGCTCTTGCTACCTCTCTAAGTAGACCAGAGACTTCTATTTTCATTGTTTTTATTGTTTTCTCCTCTGATATTAATTGAATGAGCTAGATATGACAAATGGCACCTACAGATCCAACTAACCCTGGACTTCAGAAGGATGGATGACTCCTGGCCGGGAATCCTTCTGCACCTCACTGTCTCACTTGTAGCAGGAAATCACCATCTCATTCTGTGAAGGCCCAGAAAGTCTCTGGGGTCCCCAGGCCAGGCCATGATGGAAGTCCTTCATCAAAACTTTCCCATCTCGCCGGGTGGTGGTGGTGCACACCTTTAATCCCAGCAGAGCCAGGTGGATCTCTGTGAGTCTGAGGCCAGCCTGGTCTACAGAGCAAGTTCCAGGACAGGCTCCAAAGCTACACACCAAAACCCTGTCTCAAAAAACCAACAAAAACAAAAAACAAAAAACAAACAAAAAAACAAAACAAAACAAAAAAACCTTTCCCATCTCTGCTGAGTCTGTGTGTCCCTGTAACTTTCAACAGGTGGATATGGTACAGGGTCCCACTTGCTTGTCACCAAACCAAATACATTGCATAATTCAAGTTGTGGGTCTCCATCCCCAAAGTGCATCCCCAAGGGCTTAACTAGAACTATCATACCCTGGTAGTAACCTCATCATGTCCTTCAGAGGCCCCTTCACACCTTTCATCCCTTCCCCACAGGCTCTTCTCTTTACAATCAAGCCTCTCCCTCCCATCAGTCAGAAAGAGCAGAATTTAGGGAGGCTCAGTAGAAAGCCCCCAAACCACCAAGCACCCCTACATCTTATCTACATGCTGTTTTCCTCCTTCTGTCCTGATTCTCAGCCCAGATTCAGCTACACTGCCCCCCTCAGTTCTCCCTGCTCCCTCCTCCCTCTCAGCTCTGCAGCCGATCACCAGCCTCTTTGTCCCTCAAGCAGCCACCTGCTGAGTGTCTGGCCAGGGTCCCACAAGCCAGCAGGTGCCTAGGGAGTCCCCAGTGCCTGGGGAGCGGGAGAATCAGGCAGTGTGGAGAGCCACACTGTGTCTCAGGGAAAAATTCCAACAACATAGAGCTAATCAGAGAGCCAGGACCCAAGTTTAAACCTTGTGCTGGCTCTGGGTGTCTAGGTGACCTTGGATAAATCATGTCACCTCCCTGTGCCAGTGGGAATTAATTCACGGCACCAGATTCTATCCCACCTCTTTTCTAGACAGCATAGAATCAAAGGAAATCAGAGAGGTTAGGGACTGGGAAGAGACAAGAATCCCTATTGGAGGAGCCGGGCCTCCAATGGCCAGAGAGATACAGGGCACCAAGTCAGGAGCCTCTTTGTCAGGCAGTCACTGGAGGGGTGACTTCCTGATGACCCAGGAAGTCAGGGGTGAGCATTAGCCCTACAAGGTCTTCCAGCAAGATGAGACTGACATCCAGACAGAGAGCCCGGGTTCATGGACCTTTTCAGGGTCTTCACCTGGCACACTGCTCTGCCGACGTTGTCATAGACATTATTTATATCCAGCCAGGAGATGTGCTGGTGATTTGAAACATCTGGTCCAGCAGCTGGCAGTCCCCCTCCTATCAAGACACCCTATTCTGTGGCTAGCTAAAGAGACTGGAGGAAAGTCCCATTTTGAGGATCAAAGTACCCCCGATGTCTCCATGCAAAAGTGTGAAGAGGTATCCGATAAGGCATGCAAAAGTCAGCTCCCTGGCACATTTATTTACCCAGATTCCTTTCTCCTCCCTCCTGCACTGCCCACTCAATACCCATCCTGTAGCAGAGCCCTATTCTACCCCACTGTCCAGTCACCTTTCTCCCGTCCCTCTCTGTCTACAGCCCAGGCTAAGACAGCTTGTTACTCAGGTCAAGGTGGTGCTCATGAGGCCCTGACTGCTGGCTGGTCCTGATTCTGAGCCCTGCTGTACCTGTAACCTCGTTACTGACTCTGGCACTCCCTTGGCCTTCCCTGCCCTGGGCCTCAAGCAACAGAGACAGGAAGAGACGGGGAGAAAGTTTAGCTCTCTCTATTAGAGGTATCCATCCACACAGCTCAGCAGAGTCCTTGGAGGTCAAAACAAGGTTGAGGAAAGAGAAAGGGCATGAGGGGTGGGGGGAACTGAGCAGCCAGCAACCCTAAGATTCTGTGGGGGAAAGAAGCCTAGACATGCAAGTAGCCTTGACTGTGCATGCTTGTCTGGCTTCATCGGTTCCTGGGTGTTGGTGCCCTCTGTCTCCGCATTCTGGGGCAGGGACCTACGGAAGTAGATCACACCTCAGCTTGGGCTGTTATCTCCCCCTTCCCACCAGCCTACACCATTCTTCCCCCTTATCTCAGGCTCCACTGAGCCCCTCAAGGAAACTGGGGTTGTCCCCCCTTCCCTGCTGAAGATTTCTGTGGAAGTTGAGGGACAGGGCAAGCCTGGGGCGCCTCACAGACTGGGATGCTCAGAAGTTGAGGCCCCTTCCCTCAGTCGCACAAAAACATAGAGGCAAAGCACCCTGCTCCCCACCCCCTCCACTCCCCACCCCACCTCACTGCCTCACTGGGTGGCCAAGTCCACAGGTGGTGGGTGGCAAGTGGTACCCGCTGGAAGAAGACCCTAGGCTTCTCTCCTTCTGCTCCCCACTCTCACCTCACCGAGTCCCCAAAGACAGGGCTTAACTCTCCCTTCCAAATAACTCTTCCCTAGGTTGTTTGGAAATAGGGTAGAGCTCCTGGCAGTCCCCCACAGAAGCTGGGGAAGATGGAGAGGGTGCTGAAGGGTCAAGAAGCAGAGAGCAGGGAGGCATGCCCAATGAGGCTACCCATCCAGGGGCCTCTGATATGGTCCTCGCACTTCCTAGGGGGGTGTCAGGCCCAAACTAAGGCTCAGTTCTACCCAAAGGCCACCATCAAATCATTATCTCCAAACCCAGCAGCAACAAACACTCACCCCATCGCTGCTCCCACTGGCCCCGGAAACTAGTCTCAGCTGGAAGAGCACAGAGCAAAGTGGTTCCAGGAGCTGAGCCAATGGACCAAAAAGGGAGATGGCCCTTGCTCCCTCAGAGGAGGCCCAGCTCTGGGCACAGCCTGTCTTTGCTCCCAAAGGCCTTTTGTTTCTGTATCTGTCCTCGGTCCTGATCTCAGACTCCTAGGCCTGCCTCCCGGCCATACCAGCTGCCACTGGTTAGCTCTCTGGGCTTCCTCACCTGTAGGATTGGGGGCAGTTATCAGATAGTGCAAGAGAACAGTGATCCAGAGCCAGAGCACAGAAGGTGCTCAGAAACTGTGGGGCTCTCATGGTCCTCCAGCCCCACCTGAGTCCCACCCCCCCATGCATGCACACATGAGCACAAACATGCCACAAGCCCACACACAGACACATGTGCATCCACTCACTTATACACATGCTTTGGCATTTGCACATACACATGCATGCTCACACATGCATACACGTCACATGCACGTGCACACATAGACACTCTCACAGATGTGCACACATAGCCTAACTCTCCAATGCTCAGCAAATCTATCCAAGAGATAGATAAAAGGAGATGGGCTCCAGAGCATGCAGAAGGAGAGCGGCCAGTAACAGGGTATAATCCCCCACTCTGCCCACCAGGAGTCTCTACCAGTTCCCAGAGTTGGGCACCAATAACAGAAAAGTTATAACTGCCTCTCCCACCTAAAGACTTCTTAAGAAATCAAGAACCTAGAGAAAAAACAAAACAAACAAACAAACAAAAAACCAGACAGGCCCAGAGAGGGTAGGCCAAGCCCAAAGTCACACAGCCCCTTGGTGGTAGAAGTACAGCCACATGGGAGCCAGGGCTCTGAGAAGGCCTCCACAGCTAAGAGCAGATGCCATAGTGACCTTCAGACAAAGTAGCAGCTGGAGTCCAGCTTGGCATCAAGGACCAGGGACCCTTTCCTCCTTGATTGCATTTTCTGAATCCGTAGTCCCCTAGATGCAGCATCAGGAAAAGCATCAGGGGGCAAAGACGGCAGAGTTAGGGAGGTGAGTGGCCCTCAGGCACCAAGTAAGTCCCTTCGTAGGAGCCAAAGCTCATGGACTCTTGGGAGTACACCCACTAAGGATCCTTCCCAGAAGTGGCCAAAAGTGCTGGGATTGGCCTCAGGGGCGGCGGCGGCTTTTGAACACTGGGGTAGGGGTAGGAGGGGCAGCAGCCTTGAGATGCTGGTCTGGGGCCCAGGAAGATAGCTGCTTTCCAGCCCTGTCACCTTGTGCCTCTGCCTTGCTGGTCTGGTGGCTCTGAGGGACTATTCATGGCTGATGTGGAGAGGGCAGAAGATGGAGGGAATGGCTGTTCCTCTCTTGGTCATTCCCTGTTCCCGAGCTTTGTTCCTGGACTGGCTGAGCTGGTCCAGCTACTGGCTGCAGGGAGAACATAGTTCCTGCCTCTGCAGACTTCTTGTCCTGCTGACATTTCCAAGGTTTGCCGATCGGAGAAATACAGTCTTTTGCTGCTGATGGTTTGGTAATGGAGGAGGAAGGCTGTGACCGGAGCACCCAGCTCAGACCATGCTCTTCTGCCCCTCTGTTCTATACTTCTGCCTTGGGACCAGCAGATAGCACACACACACACACACCCCCCCCCCCCCCCGGCTCCTAAGATCCTAAACAGAAGAAGGGGCTTTTGGTAGCCGATGGACAGAAGAACTGATGGATAGAAACCCCACATGAGGAAAGGCAGCCTCAGTGCCTAATTAGACCCTTTGTTTGCTACAGCCCAGTCAAGGTGAGGAACAGTGGATTAGACTGGCAAGGGTAACAAGATGGGGGCTCCTTCCATTGCTTCCATCCTGTCCCAAGGGCAGGGACCAATCCTACGGTCCCTACTTCTCACGGCAGTGCTTTAAGGCCCTGGCCCCAGGAATCACTAGTGGGCAGGCAGGGCTCTGGCCCCCAGGTCCCCAGGGCCAGCAGGCAGACAGGAGGGGAGAACACAAGGCCGCAGGGGAAGGTGTAGAACGCAGCAGGTGACGCTGTAGCAGAGGCCTCATTAATCACCTCTCCAGCCCCCAGCTCTGCAGTGGCGAGACCGTATTAGATTTTAAATTGGAAAGCGGAGAACGTGGCAGTTAGCAGGGAGCTCCTTCCACCCTGGGCCCCTGATCACAGCCTCACAGGAGGGAAGGGACACTGGAGTGAAAAGGGCTAGCCTGACTACTGCAGCCCAGAGCAGTGTCCTCTCCTCCTCCCTGCCTCCTCAGAGTCTGGGGAGCTGTCAAGACAGATAGCTCTGGGAAAGGTCAGGTTAGGGTCCAAGGAGGATGGTTAAAAAAGGGGCCACAGCAGCCTTCGTGGGGAACAGTATCCCCTTCTGCTGGGTCCTAGGGTCTTTCTGGGCTTAAGGTTCTAGGCTGTGATAGTCATAGCAAGGGCAAATGGTAATGACTAGTGGCCCATGCATATATTTGGATTTACATACACACACACATACATACACACACACAAAGAGACACACACACAGACATACACACACATATACTGAGACACACACAGATGCATACACACACACACACACAGAAAGAGACACACACACACACAGACATACACACACATATACTGAGACACACACAGATGCATACACACACATACACAGACACACACACAAAGACACAGACACACAACGAAGCAGCAACCAATGCATTAGCAGCGTTGATCCCAGGCTGTGAAACAGGCAGATCCTGATGGCCGTTTTCCCTTCAAAAGAACTAGGATGGTCCATATTGCTTCTCAGCCTCAAGTTCTTCACATGAAAAAATGTAAAATATCGATTCTAAGCACAGTTCTGAAGGGAAGATGGCTCTTGGGAAGGTTGGTGACTGGCTCACAGCGATGCTTGGTAAATATGAGTGTCCTACCCTGGGCAGCTGCTCCAGGACTGCCCCCAGGGTGCTCTGCCCTCTGCTGCTGACTGGGCAGTGAGGAAGGAAGGAAAAGCAGAGCAGGCATCCCTCGAAACACACACATGCCCAGCCCCAACTTTAGATGTGATCACAGGAGGCCAAATGCTCTTTCCACAAAGTCAAGATCTTCTTAAATTGCCTCTGCTCCAGTCCTCAGAATTGCCCATTGAGCACCCAACAACCTGGGCTGGAGGGATGGCTCAGTGGTTAAGAGCACTTGATGCTTTTACAGAGGACTCAGGTTTGGATCCCAGCACCCACATGGTGGCTCACAACCATCTGTAATTCCATGACTGGGGATTTGATGCCCTCTTCTGGACTCCGAGAACACCAGGCAGGTGGGTGGTGCTTATACATGTATACAGACAAAATGCTCATATGTATAAAATAAGATAAATAAATCTTAAAAAAAAAAAAAGCATCCAACAACCCACAGAATATTGGCCACAGCTGGGAAGCAAATGCCATTAGAGAACTGAGGGGTGACAGGCCCAGCCCTCCTGTGGGCTTCACGAGAGCCCTGAAGAAGTCCTCGGGCTCTTTGTCATCTTCCTTGACCAACCTGAGTCCTCAGCTCTCCAGCTTCCAATTTTATTTATTTATTTATTTTTTAAGGTTTGGTATACAGTGTTCTGCCTGTATGTTTGCCTACGCACCAGAAGAGGGCACCAGATCTCATTATAGATGGTTGTGAGCTGCCAAGTGGGTGCTGGAAATTGAACTCAGGACCTCTGGAAGAGCAGCCAGTGCGCTTAACCTCTGAGCCATCTCTCCAGCTCCCTGCAGCCCCTCCAATCTTACTCTTCCAGGATTCTCACCTTAGGTTCTTCCCTCCTGAGAGGTAGTGAATATTGTTGGGTTGGGAGATCAGGCCTTGCATTTTTTCATTGTATGTAGTAGTCACTAACATGAAATTAAGTTAAAATGTACTACCTCATCCTCACTAGCCACATTTAGAATGCTCCTCAGCCTCATGTGACTATGGCTAACTTTTGTCTTTAACCTTTTGCAATGCTAGAAATCAAAGTCGGACCCTTGAGCATGCTAGGCAAGCATTTTACTTCTGAGCTATGTCCCTGCTCCCTATCATCCTGAACACACAGACATAGAACATTTCCATGGGACCTGGATAAATGACTCGGCACTTGCTGCCCTCACAAAGGACCCTAGTTAGATTTCCATCATCCACATGGCAGCCAACAATCATCTGTTATTCCAGTTCCAGGAGGGAATCTGATGCCCTCTTCTGGCCCCTGTGAACATTGCACACATGTGGTGCTCATATATGCAAGCAGGCAAACACAGATACACACAAAGTAAAAATAAATAAATCTTTTTTAAAATCTTTAAAACAGGGAATGGAGAGATGGTTCAGTGGTTAAGAGCACTGGCTGCTCTTCCTGAGGACCCAGGTTTGATTCCCAGCATGCACATGGTGGCTCACAACCATCTATAATTCCAGTCTTCGGGGATCTGACACCCTCCTCTGACCTCTGCAGGCACCAGCTACACAATTGTTGCACAGACATACA